AATAAATTAAAAAAAAAAAATTCATGTGGAACACTCCTATTTTACCGAAGGAACAACAGAAGAATAAAAGCAAAAAAAGAAAAGAAAAGAAAAGAAAGCATTCATATATATATATATATATATATATATATATATATATATATATAATTGTTTTTATTTTTCTTTTTATTATTATTAAATAGCCCAGGCACAAGTGCACACCTGTTGCCCCTTTTTCTCTGTCTGTGTGTGTTTACTCAGTGAACAGCAGCCACAGTGTGTGGGGGGTGGGCATGGTATTAGCAACTCACAGTGAAGAAAGAAGAAAAGAAGAAAGTGTGTGTTATTGCGTATCTGTGGGTTGAAACAGTAGTCAAGTGATAACAAAAAAAGAAACAAAAAAAAAAGGAAAAAGAAACTCTATATATATATATATATATCAACATGTTTTCTATACTCAACACTACAAGAAATGTCTCTTCCATTACCAACACGGTTCGAAATCCCTTTGCACCTCTCACATCTAGTTCCATACTGAGTAGTAAAGATACTGAGAGAAATACAGACTTGGAGTTAAAACTAGAGGATCTCTTAACGGCGTGGTGTGTATATGGAAGATTAAGTGTTGGATATAGTGGAGGTAAAATTTCTTCACTTCCTTCACTAAATGATCCCAACACACGAGGTACTTTCTTACCTGTGCAATTAATATGTAATATAATGAGTTTTCTTGATCTCCCATCTTTACTACAGTTAAGGGCGGTGTGTAGATCTTATCATGAGGTATTTTTCTCACAATGTGTACAAGAGACATTAGCCAATTCCGTTACTCGAGTATTGGATGAAACTTATCTTTCTTCCAGTCTATTAACAACATTAATACAAGAACGGATGGCGATACTTATAAAATGTGAAGCTGCCTGGTCTCATTGGATTACTCGTTTTGTTGGAGCTCAATTACATGCAGAGATGGATGGATCTGAAGTTCGTATTCTTTTACAAACAGGTGAGACATTATGTCAGGAATTACAAAATGTTCGTAATGATCTTCGAACATCTATTTCCTTATGGTTAAGTCATCTTGCGAATACACGTCGTATTCGATATAATATTCGTCAACAATTATTTAATATCTCTTCTCTTGGTAATTTAGTAAGTATGGGAGTTCGTCCACTTCTTTTACCAGATGGGACTCTCTGTGTAAATGCACCATCGGATTCGATTTCTCTTTATAGTCGTTATCATGCTGTAAGTGGAAAGAAGGGAGTGGTGTGGAAAATATTTGCAGAAGGAACTCTCATAGCGCCAGTGTGTGGAATGTATTTTGATCTCTTTACAGATATTATACATATCGCATTACAGAATGGAGATATTGTCAAGTGGAAAGTAAATGATCCAAAGACAGCGAGACTTGTAAGAGATATGCAATTGTATGGTAGTGATAGACATAAGCATATGGCCTGTGTAGAGACAATTGATCATTATAATATAGCTCCAACACAATTGGCAAGTTTTATTCCTACAAGTATGGATTCTATTTTATTACCAGAGTATGTGTGGAAAGAGTCAGAGGTGTTGTCCATCACCCGCGCTCATAATAATAATAATAATAATAATAATAATAATAATAATAATAATAATATGGGAGATGTGGCTATTGTTATTGTAAAAGATAGTAAAGATATTACCGCAACGTTACTGTCGAGTGTTAGGGTAAATGATGGACGTTTAACGATAAAAGATTTGCGTGAAATTGACAACTTACAAAGTGAACTCTGTGTTCTTGACTATAATGAATCTAATCATACTGGGACTCCTCCAGTAGCACCGGAGGCTGTAAGAATAGGTGAAGGAATAGAAATGGCAGAGTTGTCTGATCAACAACAGCTAAGGGAAATGAATACGGATAATACGAATAATACTAATAATACTAGTATTGGTAGTAATAATGGAAGAACAACTACGGTGCCTATTCTTCAAACCGAAAAAGAAGTGATGGAACGATTTGTATTTGCTGTATATAATGAACGTACATCATTAATGTGTACTTCTGCTCTTACAGGTGAAATAGCCCATTGTATTTCTAATTCATTTATTAATACGACTTTAGGTGTAAGTCGTGCAGGAGATGTTAAAAGTGTACGTTTCCTTTCTGCTCCAGTATTTAAAAGATGTGATTTGAGTGATCCCAATAGTGTAGAGGAAGGTGATGTTCTTACTATTTCCTTAATGCCGAGTAGAATATTCATTAGTAGACAAACACTATTTCGTAAAATACGAAAAATTGAAAAATGTGTTTGGGATGATGATGATGATGATGACTCTATTCAATATCATAATGGATCTAAAGAGAAAAAAAGAAATAGAAATAAGATGACTTGTACTTTTTGCGGTATATCTTCAAAGAAGTTAAAAAGACGTACATGGTATGTTTTACAAGGTTATGTTTATAAATCGCCTTCTTCAGAAATAACACCAATTTTTGAAGTTGCCCTTCCATCTATTACAGCTGTGATCACACCTCGTCCTTGGCTTTCACATCATGCAGAGTTACTTATACAATGGAAGAAGAAGAAGGATAATAATAATAATAATGGGAAGGAAATAAAGGATTCTAATAAGATATTCTCACATCTTAATAGTTGGTGGTGTCCATTAAAGGATGGACATCCTTATTTCCGTATACCATTTATATTATTTCTCTCAAGATTTACACCATATATTACTTTTTGTAATCCAAATAGGAATAGTGATAATAGTAATAGTTCTACTACTATGGAAGAACAAGTATCCTCATCAGAGGCTCTCACAACGTTTAAAACTATAGGTATCTTTGATCCCTTTGAAGAACATTTCTTTAAGTGTAGAGCTGTAGTGCTTTCCCTTTCTCATGCCTTTTTTGTGTTGGCGGTTGAAGGGGGGGCATTACTGTTGGTCTCTCCATCGTGTACATTTCGTGTTAACAGGAATAGTCAAGAGAATGTAAACAACGCCGAACAACAACAAGAAGAAGAAGAAGAGGAAGAAAAGAAGAAAGAAAAAGAAGAGAAAGAGGAGCATACATCATTACCTTTAGTAACAGCAGAGTTGGATGAACACCAATCCACCGAATTGGAAATAGACTCCTCAATAAATACGAAGGGGAATACATTACCAAAACTCAATAATAATAATAATAATAATAATAATAATAATAATAATAATAATAATAATAATAGTGATAATAGTGATAATAGTGATAGTGATAATAGTGAAGAGATGAGTGTACGGATGGAACCCTCAAGACGGGAGCCGTTAAGTCGTTTCTATCGCACCACACCTTTTTACGGAAAAGATTGGCAGAAAAAAGAACGCGAAAGACGACAAGAGGCTGTACGATCTCTTTCCCCAATGGATTTCTTCGGTAATGGATTTCGTGAAGATGTTTACATTCAGACCTTGCAGCGTGGTAGTGAGTCTGTGTTAACGTCCTTTATGGGTGAAGCCTTACATCAGGATTTTCAATTTCACGGTGTTTGGATACGATCTCCACAACGAGAATCCGGTCAACCTTCTCCCGCAAACTCATGGAGTTTACACCTGGATGGGTGGAAATTAACTTCACTCAGTGAATCTTTTGAAGTGGTCATATATGATCTCACATTACATAGAAATAGTCATGATGATGGATTTGTTTTTGTGGTATTATTAACATTAAGTCCATATGCATGTCAACCATTTAATGATAAATTGGGATTAGGATATTTTATGCGGCAACGATTACAACACTTTTTAAGATTAGAAACTTTAGGTTCATCTTCTGGATTTGAAATATTATGGCAAAATGGTATATTGGTAATATGTAGTGTGAGAACGGGAGTTCGATATGCTGTATTTGATTTTGATGCTGACTTTTATGATCCTAAGGATGATAAGAATTATTATTCCTATTATTATAATAACAATAATAATAATAATAGGAATAATAGTAAACAGCATCCTTTATTACCATTATCCGTTAAACTAAAGAAAAAATGTCCTCAAATCTCATCCTCTACGCTGGGAATATCATCCCTTTCACATTATGATAATAATAATAATAATAATAATAATAATAGTGATAATGGAGAGCGTAGGGGAAAGGTATTGTATCAGTATCCATTACCGAATCAATCCATGTGGTATTTATTCTTTACATATGTACTTCATCCATTTGCATTAACATTTTTACTTCTCTCGGTATTATTATTTGTATTGCGTATAGATGAGTATGTGATGATGCCATTTTGGGTATTATTTATTATCTATTCCCCATATCCAGTACATCTGCTTATTTGTGATTTATTACCCTATGATCGATATTTTAAAGAAAGTTCTGGTATTCCTTTTTTGACGAATATTATTATGGATATATTTATGTTTATGCTCTTTCCACTCTTCTATGTACTTAAATGGGAAGTTTCTTCTATTTCTAATAATGTACCTTGGGTCATTGTGACCATTCCTCTTGATATTGCTATTTTATTATCTATATTACCATCTTTTTATACGCCTTTTTGTTTAACACGTAGTGTACGGGATATATGTGCTATTCCAGAAATTGTTTACGTTATTGAACGTTTATTATGTGTGGCCTTTGTTGTTTTACTCGCTTTTTTCTTTGATGGACCTTCCCCAACAGATCCAAAAAAACCAAAGATAAGTTTATTACTTGTATTTACACCTCTTTTTCTCATTTTTCTTATTATGATGGTGAAGACGGTTTATGATTATCACCGAGCGGGTAATGGAATAGCGGCAGCTGTACGGTTTTGTTTAATATTTCTCTGTGCAACTCCTGCTGCGTTGTTTACATTAAACTATCATGATTATTATGCGGCTATTTACCCAGGATCTTTTAGGAGTCAGCCATCATTAATACAGAGTATATTTATATTTATATTGGGATTATTAATTATGCTTTCTTATTACACAATTGTTTCCATTGCATTCTTCTTCTTGTAGGTAGTGTATTTAAAAAAAGAGAGAGGAGAGAACTGAGGAGTGAATAATAATAATAATAATAATAATAATAATAAAAGGTGAAGAGTATGTGAATAAATAAAAAAAAAAAAAAAAAAACTTTATGGGAATATGATGTAGTATACTTCTTCTGTAGACCCTTTTGTTTTTCTTTTTTTTTTTTCTTTTTATTTTGGGCAGTGAGACATGACTGGCATTGGTTAACTCTTTTTTTTTAGTAGTATATGTTTTTGTTTTTTTGTTTGTTTTTGCGTATGTGAGTAATTATTTTTCTTTTTGCTAATCATATATATATATAGTTTTTTTTTTCTGATTTTATATTCCATTCCTTGAGTTATCAATATTATTATTATCTTTTTTTTTGCTGTTGGGACTAAATGTTCTTTGTGCGGTTGAATATGAATAAATTGAAGTTTTTGTTTTTGCGAGGGAGAGAGAGAGAGAGAGAGAGAGA